AACATATATATATATATATATATATATATATTATAAAAAAAATAAAAAAAAATAAAACGTTTAATAAAGTTTTAAAGAAAAAATCGAACTGTTCGGCCACAGAGCCATTCAGTGGAGTGAACCATCTTACCAACAATCACTCTTTGACTGTGACGTAGCAGCAGGATAAGGCGGGCAGAGCGGTGGGAGCCGGGAGTTTCGACTCCAGACCGCGGGCATTTGCTGGAAAGAAGTAAAATTTACATAAAAAACTCACAACAAACTGGTTCCTCCAGAGATTGTCCTTGTCTGCTTGATAATGTTGTTACAGCGTTTAGTTTTCCAGAGCGGAGCTCGCAGCTGTTAAACCTTCAGGTAAGTGTTTCTAACGTTAGCTTCGTCGTTACCGGAGCTAAATCAGATGTGGGGACTTGTTTTTAATGGTTTTATACAGAATTAGTTAGTTTTGGATAAAAATGACAAACAAACGGAGGCACGAAGCTAGCATGCCACGGTTCTTCTTGTTTAGCGGCACGGAAACCTGAGCCTTTTTGACCTCCACTGTCCGATGATCACAAGTGAGAAAATGTGTAAAAATGAAATAAAACTTGCATCTTAGTGCAACTGTAACGCTGACGAGCTGCATCCAGAACCCCGAGGACTAAAGTTTGATTCGTTGATTTTTCGTTCTTTGCTGTCGTCTCGTTTTGGTTGAAGGCCTCAGAGGAAGCCTCGGTGTGTAGTTGGGTGTGTAACCGGAGAAGGCATCGTGTCCCCGCGGAGCCTGAACGGAGCCAGAAGAGATTCAATGATTGAGCAGTTCTTACAGAACTCTTGGTTTCAGACACTGTTTGTGCTGACAAATGTTGAAATGAACCTGTCCGAGCTGGAGGCTCATGTTGTCCTCTGAAACCCTGCGCTGCGCAGATGGAGGCCATGGAGGTCGACTCCCCGGTGGAGCTGCAGGCAGGAGGTGGGGAGCAGCCCGAGGTCGCTGCTGAAGCTGCTGGTCCAGCTGAGGAAGCTGCTGCTCCTGTCCTCATCTCAGACTCTGGCAGCAGCACGGAGGTGGACGAGGATGAAGACGGTGATGAAGGGCGGACAGCAGCTCGGACCCTTCTCAGGCTCCCTGCCACCTGGGCGTTCAGTCAGAGAGTGGCGAGTGGAGCTGCACCTTCCAGGACTCCAGAGACACCGATCAGAAGACGACTCAGGTGATCAGAATGAGCTTTGCTTCAGGAGAGAGCCCAGACTGCTGTGGACCTCCACCCAGGTGGGTTTTGTTGACTTTTTGTTTGTGCTGCAGGCAGGGACTCAGGGTGCACTATCCCAGCCAGACTGCAGCACCTTCCAGAACCTTCCCGGACTTCCTACTCCGAGCCCCAGCAGCCAGTGTCTCTCAGCCCCAGTCTGGCAGCACCACAGAAGCCAGTGAGTCTGACGATGAGGAGGACGGAGCTGCTGCTGCTGCTGCAGAGCCCACTGAGCCTGCACCACGCAGTGCAGTCGCCCAGCAGTCCCAGCAACAGGAAACACAGAGTGAGTTCAAAAGCAGCGAGTTAAATTATCTGAACAAGTCGTTTGTCTCATCTTTGTTTGGTGTTTGTTTCTGGGACAGATTCTGGCTCCGCTGCACAAAGCGACCGGACTGAAGCTGAAAGACCAGACACCCAGGTAACCCACCGGAGCTCAGCTGCATTCTGAGCTGCCTTTTCACTTGGAGTACATGAATATAACACGTGAACACATAGGGTTGTGTTTAGCTTCTATTAATTGTCCCCGTGTCCACAATTAGGCAGCTCCAGCTTCCGTCCAGTCGTCCAACAGTGAGGACACTGAAGGGGACAACTGCACTATTTGTTTGGAGGCGTGGACAACAGCAGGCGATCACAGGTTGTCTGCGCTGCGCTGCGGACATCTGTTCGGCTACACCTGCATCCGTCAGTGGGTCAAAACTCAGGGCTCGGCTGCTAGATGTCCACAGGTGAGCAGGTCCATTGTTCCACGGCACAAACTCGTGGCCAGTCATGAGTCGTGAACGTGGAGCTTCTGTCAGTGTTGACGTTTCTTTCTGGTGTTCTTAGTGCAACAAGAAGACAAAGCGGTCGGACATCGTGCTGCTGTACGCGCCAAAGCTGAGAGCTGTGGACAATTCTGAGCAGGAGAGCTTAAAAAAGTGAGCGATCTCTGCGGTCACCCTCCACCAACAGGCTGGCATGTCAGTTAAACAGTTGTTCTCCATGTGCACTGTTGTTATTTTATCTAACTTTTTTATTAGCAAGAGTAAACTCACCCAGCACAACAAGTCGCTTACACATATTTATTAACATTTTAATATTAACCCCACTCCTTCCCCGGTGTCCACCATAGTCATCGTATTCCTAATCAGAAAAAAGTTTAGTTTAAGATGCAGTGGTATTTGAAGTTGCATTATTGATCCTGTGCATGTGGTGGTGCAGTTGGTAGAGCCGCTGCCTCTCAGTGAGGAGAAGGTCGTCATATCATCCCAGCCAGGACCTTTCTGGGTGGAGTTTGCATGTTCTCTCCGTGCTGCGTGGGTTTTCTCCAGGTACTCCGGTTTCCTCCCACAGACCAAAAACATGCATGTTAGGCTGACTGGTGACTCTAAACTGTCTCTAGATGTGAGAGGGAATGAATGTTTGTTTGTCTCTGTGTCCCTGTGATGGACTGGAGACCTGTCCAGGGTGTCCCCCGCCCCTCACAGTGATTGATGGACATGGGCACCGGCGCCCCCCGTGACCCAAAATGGAAGAAGCGGGTAAAAGATAATTGAAGGATTAAAACAATAACGAGGTGCTGTGGCTGTTTGGTTGAGCTAAACGATTATATTTGGATCATACTGAGAGGTAACTGAACTGTAATAAATGCAATTGAATAAATGATCAAATATGAATAATTAATAGTATTAAATTACTACATGTATTAAATTCCTCTGACTATAATCCCTTTGAATTAAAGAGTCATTTTAGAGGAGAAATCTTTCAGCCTGGCATATGAGAATCAGCTTTTATTGGCATTGCACCGAAATGCAACAAAGTACATTTCAGTACAGTACATATTAAATAAATCATAATTTTAAGTTAACTTGTATTCTGCAAAGGACTTCCTGTCGATTTTTTTTTTTAACTACATGACAACCTTGAGTTGAAAACACTGACATGACATAAAAGTAATCAACAGAAAAGTTCTTAAAACCGTGTCTTCCTTCAGAAAGATGTTGGTGTACTTATACTAAGGTCATGTACACAGTATACTGTGTACTTATACTAAGGTCATGTACACAGTATACCTTGTACTTATACTAAGGTCATGTACACAGTATACCTTGTACTTATACTAAGGTCATGTACACAGTATACCTTGTACTTATACTAAGGTCATGTACACAGTATACCGTGTACTTATAGTAAGGTCATGTACACAGTATACCGTGTACTTATACTAAGGTCATGTA